GAAGTTTACATTATGGGATTTATATTTTTCTTTGTTTCAATACTAGAAATTTCTAAGCATTGCTTTCTTTGTATCCATAAATTTTGGTAAGATGTGTTTTCATTTTTAATATATTTAAATTGCTAATTAAATTGGAAAATAATACAATTTTACCGCTTATCCTATGAAGTAACAATCTGAGTTTTGGTTAACAGTTTTAGAAGCAGCAGATTAGAAATAATTTGAGTGTGTGCCTAAAAAAATGGTTACATAACCTCATCGACTCACATACCTGTATAAAAACAAGGCCAGTTGTTACTGATGTGAAAAGACCTACAGGCTTGAACAGCGGAACAAGAGGGAAAGTGTGTTGCAACGTATGCGCCATTGTCACCTTTGTGTCACTGCTGTGGTCGTCTACAGAGCCAGGTGGCCCCTAACAGAAAGTCTGGGCCAGACGTTGAGACTGATGGTGCTGATCACACCAAGAGGGTATGAGAATGCTTGGTACTGTCTGTGACTGCAGCAGCTGAGAAGAGGGTGGGACTTTCAAGTGGCTACAGAATGGCCTGAGGGAACAGGTAAAGGAGACTAGCTTAAGTTTTTAATGTGGCTTGGGGCCCGTGTGAAAGTTTTCATGCACATGTGCTCAGGAGGGGCTGCACAGTTTGGCTCTACTGCTGGCACCAAAGGAGGAGCACCCAGGCTTTCTTGTCACCTTGTATACAAGTGGGGCACAAAGGGTGTCAGCTGTCATGCTGCAGAGAATGGAGTCAGACACTCTCAGTTTCTCTCCCACCAGGTAAGGATCTTAGGAGTCATCATTACCATCCACTCAAGAAAAATCTGGGCTGGGCGCAGTCAGTGGCTCATGCCTGTAATCCTAGCACTCTGGGAGGCCCAAGGCGGGAGGATCGCTCAAGGTCAGGAGTTCAAAACCAGCCTGAGCAAGAGCGAGACCCCATCTCTACTAAAAATAGAAAGGCTGGGCATGGTGGCACATGCCTGTAATCCCAGCTACTCAGGAGGCTGAGGCAGAAGAACTGCTTGAGCCCTGGAGTTTTTTTTTTTTTTTTGAGACAGAGTCTCACTTTGTTGTCCAGGCTAGAGTGAGTGCCGTGGCGTCAGCCTAGCTCACAGCAACCTCAAACTCCTGGGCTCAAGCAATCCTGCTGTCTCAGGCATGCGCCACTATGCCCGGCTAATTTTTTATATATATATATCAGTTGGCCAATTAATTTCTTTCTGTTTATAGTAGAGACGGGGTCTCGCTCTTGCTCAGGCTGGTTTTGAACTCCTGACCTTGAGCAATCCGCCCGCCTCAGCCTCCCAAGAGCTAGGATTACAAGCGTGAGCCACAGCGCCCGGCCGAGCCCTGGAGTTTGAGGTTGCTGTGAGCTAGACTGATGCCATGGCATTCTAGTCCTGGCAACAGAGACTCTGACTCAATCAATCAATCAATAAAAAGCTAAAAAAAGAAAAAAATCCAAACTAAAGATTAATAACTCTTCTTAGATCAGCTGATATCATAGGGGAGACATCTGTGCCCCAAAACTGCAGACAGACAGATGGACACAGATGGACTCCTTGTGGGAGTGGGGCCATGGCTGAGGGCATGGCCGTTCTAGGCTTCTCGGGAGCCCGGGCAGGAAGGTGGTGAGTGTCTGGAGCACATGTCAATGCTAACCGGGCTCTGGGCTCAGAATCCTGTGACTATGTTGGTTTGCAGTGTCTGCGAAGGAGCAGAGCAGGCGTCACAGCAAACACGTGCCTGCCCTATGTATACCCATCGGAACCCCCTGTCTCACGGGTTCCTTTGCCATCCCCAGCCCTGGTGCAGGCAGGGAGCCCTCCCTGTGGAGGTGCAGTATAAGCAGAAGCAGAAAGGGTTTGGCTCCCTGAGAAGATGCTGGGCTAATGTGGAGAAGGAAGCAAGCCCCTCTACCGGATCTACCCAACAGCCTGGAGAAAGCTACCTGACAACAGGATGGTGCAGCATCGGGGCCGGGGACTTTGCCAGTTCCTCCCGTCTGCCAAACAGCCCAGCAATTTGGAGTCCCACACTTCTAAACAGCCCATGGATGAACACACCTCTCTTCCCGTTAGTCCAGACTAGAAATGACTGGTGACTTTATGTTTTTCAAGTAAACTCAGTGAAAAAGTAAACACACACAAACACCCCTGACCCCTTACCTCTCCCAACCTCACCCCTTTCTTTCTCTGTCCCCCCGAAATACTTGCTTCCCACCTCCCATCCTCTACTTTTCCTTGATGAGCAGATCCTGCCTAATGTGTTTTGTGAAGATTTTTTAATTTTCTGGAACTTTTTCTGTGAAGAGGGGAAACAAGAATAAATCTGGGAATAATGGGAGGTACATAACTTTAATTCCCTTTTATTTGAGAACCAAATGGAACTAACCTGCCTGGATGAGAGTTTCCACTAGGTTCCTCTGAAGCCTAAGGGTTCTGTGGCACAGGGGAGGGAGCTTGGAGGAGGCTAAAGCAACTCCCTCTTGGATGCTAATATGCCATGTTGACTTCTCATTAACCCCTGCTCTGGGAATGCCTCTCAGATTTTACTTTATCAACTGTTCCTTGTGTAAGAACATAGTGTAAATCCTACCCTTAGGTCAAAACAACCTTGATGTTATCACACAAAGTACAGGCTATGATGTAAATAGTATTGGCATTTTTGCCTTTTCCTGGAAGGTCAACTTTAATTGTCCCATATATTAACATGTATATGATTTTTCTATAGTATATAAGCTATCTGGGATATAACACCATGGAGATCTACCTGTCTTGTGGCTACACATGACCACACTCCTGTTCATAAATAACTCAATAAATCACCCTCTACTGACAACCTCAATTTGCCTGCCTCTTTCTTTGGTTTCATGGCTCCTTTTGCATTTGGGTATCACTTTTCACATATGGCCCCTTTTACAAAACGAGTGGTGAGCTACCCAGGACAAGTTCAGTAACCAAAGTATGGGCAAAGGGAAGAAGTATTGGAGTGGAAAATCTGGGGTGTTCCTTATCTATTTGGAGTGGCGGTGTCCATTTGTTAGATGCCTGTGAACTACTAAGCTAATATAAGGATGTCTTTAAAATGCCTGAGTGCCTAGAGAACTAGTTAGGAGAAAACTGCATTACCTCCTAGGGTAAGGAAGGTCACCATGTGGCATCAATGGTGGACTGGCCACTATTAGGAGCTTTGCAAGTGGCCACAGAAGCATCATTAGCAGCTAAAGTGAAGGTACAAAAGCTAGATTTAAAAAATACAGTTAGAAAAGGATATGAAAACTTCCACATCCAAGTTAGCAGCTATCTTTGTGGATAACTTTGAAACTGAGGAGCTGCAGTTGGAAACTCTATCCTGCTGTTTCGTGCAGCTGGAAGGGAAGAAGCTGCTCCAGCTGCAGGTGTGAACATGTGACAGCCCATCTATACTCAACAAAATGAAGGGCAAGAAAATCACATAATTACTCTAATTGAATTGGCAACAAGTGAAAGATTGATATGGGGAGATTCTGCACACTGGAGACATGACATTTGTGAGAAATAAATTTAATGTACAACACAGAAACTAAGCTTGCTTTAAGAATTTGTAAAGTCTAGTATGCTAGTAAATCATCAACTCTTTTGAAATTATCTGTTTTGATCCACTATTTCCATTTCCTTCTGAAGATAGTTCTTCCTCTATGGTTCTGACACAAAGTTTACTTTCAGTTTGATATATTTGCATATTGCTTTCAATATAAATCAAAACAAAAAATTTCTATGTGTTCACTTGGCCCAGAAAAGAGCCATGTGCAAAGAAATATATTTAGCAAAATTTTATGAATAGTGATTTAGAATTTAAAGTTATGGCTTTGAATTTTAGTCCTATATTGTCTTTACTATAACCATCATAATACCTCCACAGTTACAAAAAGGAGAAAAGGATACAAAATGCTAACTATGAAAACAATATTGTGTAATTTATTGGAAGTTTAAGTCCTTAGGAATAAGAGATTACTAGAGAAGTTATTCCAATGTGTTACCAAATAAATAGTACATTATGTTCATCTGCTAACCACAATCTTGGACACAATAAGATAGCTTAACATTAGTGGCAGGGTAATTTCTTCATTTTACACCAGTGTTAAAACATTAAACATTTAGTTTTATTAATCAAATTAATTAACCTAAGCAAATTAGGCTAAGTAAAACATTTTGCTCCCTGGTCAAAATATAGCCAGAAGTACTAAAGCAGCATTATATTTTGTCTAATACAGTGATCTTAGAGTGATGCTTTCTTCAATTTTAGAGTGAGGCTAATTATTTAGCGTACATTGGTTGGGATACATATACAACCTATCACACAAGAGTTATCTTCACTTTCCTCTAATATCTGTGAAGATGTTTTTATTTATATCACATCAAATAGCATTCAAGATTTTTATGCCCTCTATCATATCACATAATACTCAAGATTTCCATTTCATTGTACTATAAGCGAGAAACAAATTTAATGTAGAGATGTCAGTATTTTAACTAACTGGTCAGTTTTCTCCTACTTAAGTAGCAATTGACAAAATGACTTATTTTGAAAATTCAAAATGTTTCTTACTTTAATATAGAAGAAAACTGTCCTGAATATACACCATGTGCTCATATACATCACTGTTGTATAATTTAAAAAAGCATCTTTCACTATATATTCTTAATGAATTTTACATTTGTCATAGAGCTATCATGGAAAAATTGATATTAATCAGTCACCTAACACTGAATAACCTCTCATAGCTCTGATGCAGAAAGAACAGTCCAAATATTTTCATATAAACATGAGGGTTTAAGGCAAAGATAGCATCAACTTAATTTGAGAATTGAATTATATCAATAATATTTGCTTTTGAAGAATTTCAAACACTATCAAGATAAAGTATGGATGAAATATAATTATACCTGTCCAAACTTCAATGTTCTTGTTCTTTTGAAAAATGTGATCAGATAAATCATGTAATTGCTTTGGCTTTACATTATTCTCCACAATGTAAAATCTGAAAGTGTGCTTTAGTTTTTACTTGAGTAACAGAATTGAGTGAATCCTCTAATGCACTTAGACTTAAATTTTGGTTAAATACTTCCTTATGTTTATTGCACCAGTAAAGTTTCTTTTCCTATGAATGCTCTGGTAATTTCTAAGTTGCACATTTTATATAAAACTCTTTTCACATGTATTACATCTACAGGGTTTCCGTAGTATGAATTTTCTTATGTTGAGTAAGTTGTGATCTACAAGTAAACACTTTGCCGCATTCTTTACAATTGTAGGGTTTCTCTCCAGTATGAATTACCTGATGTTGTCTGAGGCTTGATGACTGGGTAAAGGCTTTGCCACATTGTTCACATTTGAAGGGTTTTTCTCCAGTATGAATTCTCTGATGTCGTATAAGGAATGATAAGTAAGTAAAGGACATACTACATTCTTTACATTTGTAGGGTTTTTCTCCAGTGTGATTTTTACGATGTTCACTAAGGTATGAAGTACGGCTAAAGGCTTTGCCACATTCTTCACATTTGTAGGGTTTCTCTCCAGTATGAATTACTCGGTGTTGTCTGAGGCTTGATGACTGGGTAAAGGACATGCCACATTGTTCACACTTGAAGGGTTTTTCTCCGGTATGAATTCTCTGATGTTGCGTAAGGATTGAAAAGTAAGTAAAGGACATACCACATTCTTTACATTTGTAGGGTTTTTCTCCAGTATGAATTTTATGATGTTCACTAAGGTGTGAACTACGGTTAAAGGCTTTGCCACATTCTTTACATTTGTAGGGTTTCACTCCAGTATGAGCTACCTGATGGTGTTTAAGGCTTGAAGACCGGGTAAAGGACATGCCACATTCTTGACATTTGTAGGGTTTCTCTCCGGTATGAATTCTCTGATGTTGAGTAAGGCGTGAACTACGGTGAAAGGCTTTGCCACAGTCTTTACACTGGTGGAGTTTCACTCCAGTATGAATTCTCTGATGTTGTTTGAGGCTTGATGACTGGATAAAGAACATGCCACATTCTTCACATTTGTAGGGTTTTTCTCCAGTATGGATTCTCTGATGTTGTCTAAGGTTTGAAAACTGAGTAAAGGAAAAACCACACTCTTGACATTTGTAGGGTTTCTCTCCAGTATGAATTCTCTGATGTCGAGTAAGGCGTGAATTACGGTTAAAGGCTTTCCCACATTCGTTACATTTGTGGAGTTTCTCTCCAGTATGAATTCCCTGATGTTGTCTGAGGCTTGCCAACTGGGAAAAGGACATGCCACATTCTTCACATTTGTAGGGTTTTTCACCAGTATGAATTCTCTGATGTTGTCTAAGGGCTGAAAACTGAGTAAAGGATATACCACATTCTTTACATATGTAGGGTTTCTCTCCAGTATGAATTCTCTGATGTTCAGTAAGGTGTGACCTACGGTAAAAGGCTTTGCCACATTCTTTACATTGGTAGGGTTTCTCTCCAGTATGAATTCTCTGATGTTGAGTAAGGCATGAACTACGCTGGAAGGTTTTGCCACATTCTTTACATTTATAGAGTTTATGCCTGTATGGGTATTCTCCAATATTCATTTCCTGATATTGAGAATGTTTCCCTGATTCAGTTAAAGCTTCTACACGTTCACTATGTTTACAGGAATTCTCTTGAACACAGATATTTTCATGGCTAAAAAGCTTTGAACATTGATGAAAGACTTTCTCACAATTTTTAGATTTGTACTGGATCTCTGGATCTTGAACTTTCTGATATTTTCTATAGTATGAGTCTTGGTTCAAGGTCTTTTCAGGTTTATTGCATTGATAATTTTTCTCATCAATGTCAATATCCTGGTAATTATTTAGGGTAGAATCCTGGATAAAGGATATCAAAGCTTTATTGGATATACAATATTTTCCCCAATTATCTATTCTTTGAAATTGGTTAGCCAAGGATGACTGGGCACACACCTTATCATACGGATCACATTTATGGATTTTTGCACAAGATGGTATTATTTTTTTGTGAAAGCATAATAAAGTTTTAACAAAGGACCCATAAAATTGATCACATTTAGAATTACTGTCTTCCTTCTTAAATCTCTGGGCTTCAGAAATATTTGGCTCAACACTTAATGCAATTCTATTATCAAAGTCCTGGGTTTCTTTGGGGCTTTTCAAAGACTTCTCATTGTTTCTTTTAATATGGAGTGCTAAAAAGAAATGCAGATAGAGTTTAAAGAGATGCTGAGTCAAATGAGCACAAAGATGAATAACTATTACAGCAACAGAGAGATTGCAGAATATATGAAATTCATCACGGAAGGTCTTTACCTTAATAAAGATTAAGGGCTCTTAAGAAGACACAGGCAAACCTTTATAATGGGAAAAATCACAGAGTACTCAAGAGAAGATGCACTCCGCCCACAGTTTGAAGAAGTGCCCAGAATGTCTGCTGTGGCTGTGAGGTGCCAAATTTGCCCTTGTCAAAGCCATTCCATAAAGGATAGAACAGGTATTACAAGACATCAAAAAACCCAGAAATTAAAGTCCAATAAAAAGACAAAATATTCATGTGATCCTAAGAAGTGAATATCTATGAAGTAATTTTAAACGAATTTAAAATATCTATCTTAAAAATGTTCAATCAGGTAAATAAGAACACAGACAAATAAATAAAAGGAGGAAAACAATGCAAAAAGAAACTGAGATTATTGGCCGGGCATGGTGGCTCATGCCTGTAATCCTAGCATTCTGAGAGGCTAAGGTGGGAGGATCGCTTGAGGTGAGGAGTTTTGAGACCAACCTGAGAAAGAGCAAGACACTGTGTATCTACTAAAAAAAGAAAAAATTTAGCTGGGTATGGTGGCACACAACTATAGTCCCAGTTACTTGGGAGGCTGAAGCAGGAGGATTGGTTTAGCCCTGGAGTTTGAGGTTGCTGTGAGCTAGGCTGAGGCTATGGCACTAACTCTAGCCTGGCAACAAATTGAGACTCTGCCTCAAAAAAAAAAAAAAAAATATATATATATATAAAATAGCTAGAAGAGCAGCTTGTAGATGCTCTTACCACAAAACTAATGAATGCATGAGGTAATGGATATACTAAATTAATCATTTTACAACATATATGTGAAACATCAAATTGTACCCCATAAATATGCACAATTACAATGTGTCAATTAAAAATATAGTCCGGGCGTGGTGGCTCACTCCTATAATACCAGCACTCTGGGAGGCCAAGGCGAGAGGATCATTTGAGCTCAAGAGTTCAATACCAGCCTGAGCAAGACTAAGATCCCGTCTCTACTAAAAATAGAAAAAAGAATTATACAGGCAACTAAAATAGAAAAAATTAGCCAGGCATGGTGGCATGTGCCTGTAGTCCCAGCTCCTTGGGAGGCTGAGGCAGGAGGATCGCTTGAGCCCAGGAGTTTCAGGTTGTTGTGAGCTAGGCGCTCTAGCCCGGGCAACAGAGCGAGACTCTGTCTCAAAAAAAACCCACAGACTAAGAATTAAATGTAAGATCTATAACAATTAAACTCCTAGGAGAATACACAAAGCTTCATGACAACTGGTCTTTACAATGAGGTTTTGGATATACCATCAAATGATTAGGCAACAAAAGTAAGAACATACACATGGTACTACATCAGTGTATTCAAAATATCTCAAACATATTCAAAGCAAAACATGGAATAGATATTTGCACATTTATGTACACTGCAGCATTATTCACAAAATACAGTACCTGGAAGCAATCCAAATGTCCCTTTACAAATGAGTATATAAAAATAGAAAAATTAGCCAGTGTGGTAATGTGCCTATAGGCCTAGCTGCTCAGAAAGAAGACTGAGGCAGTAGAATCACATGAGCCCAGGAGTTAGAGGTTGCTATGAGCTATGAGATGCCACTGCACCCCAGCCCAGGTGACAGAGCGAGACTCTGTCTAACAAAGAAAGTCATCTGGACATATACTATATAGTAAGGACAAACCTTGAGGATATTTTGTTGCATAAAATAACACAGTCAAAAAGAAACAGAAACTGTATTATTATACTTACGTAAAGTATCTAAAGTAGTCAAACTCACACAAACAGAAAGTCAAATGATGTTCTTCAGGAGCCAGAGAGGGGTGGAAAGGACAATTTGTTGTTTAATGGTTGCTTACCTTAATTTTTGTAAGATAAAAATGATCTATTAACCTGTTGAAAAACTATATCAATACACTTAACACTACTAAACTGTATACTTAAAATGTTTGAGATGAAAATTTCACGTTTTTTACCACAACTAAAAATTTGACTACCTAAAAGATAATTATAGGGCCGGGCGCAGTAGCTCATGCCTGTAATCCTAGCACTCTGGGAGGCTGAGGCGGGCGGATTGCTTGAGGTCAGGAGTTCAAAACCAGCCTGAGCAAGAGTGAGACCCCATCTCTACTATAAAAATAGAAAGAAATTAATTGGCTAACTAATACATATAGAAAAAATTAGCCGGGCATGATGGTGCATGCCCGTAGTCCCAGCTACTTGGGAGGCTGAGGCAGGAGGATCGCTTGAGCCCAGGAGTTTGAGGTTGCTGTGAGCTAGGCTGATGCCACGGCACTCACTCTAGCCTGGGCAACAAAGTAAGACTCTGTCTCAAAGAAGAAAAAAAAATAAGATAATTATAAAACATTTTAAAAATCACCATCAAATAACAAGTGTTTCTCTCAAAATGCAGATTTGAACAATAAATATATTGTGACTTTAAGACTATTTTCTTCACTACTCACCTAGACAGGATAGAACAATCACTGACAACCAACATTTTATTTATATACACACACACACACACACACACACGGCTTACCCTAGTATGGGTAATATTTATAATATTTATATAGGCAAAAACACATGCATATTTTTATAGGTAATAGACATGTGCCTAATGCATATATAAATTGTATACCATATCATCTTAAAATGTAGAGAGTTCAATGTAATCATCGAATTCATGATATTAAGGTTAAAATCAAAACTACAATTAACTCATCTAAGGGAACACACTCAAAAAAGAAACATAGTATTAAGGAAGAACAGAAATTTTGATGCATAAAATACTGAAGATAACATAAATACACTACTGAAAAATAATGAACCTGGCCAGGTGCAGTGGCTGACCACTGTAATCCTAGCACTCTGGGAGGCCAAGGCGGGAGGATCACTTGAGGTCAGGAGTTCAAGACCACCCTGAACAAAAGCTAGACCCAGCCTCCATTAAAAATAGAAAAAAATTAGCTGGGTGTGGTGGCACGCACCTCTAATCCCAGTTACTCAAGAGGCTGAGGCAGGAGGATCACCTGAGCCCAGAAGTTTGAGGTTGCAGTGAACTGTGATGATGCCACTGCACTCTAATTGGAGTAACAAAGCAAGACTCTGTCTAAAAATATCATACTTTAGATGTCTACAATTTTCCATTGTGTGTATTCATGAGGACTGGTGCCGTGTTTACACAAACTATAGCAGCAATAATATAGTTTTTCTAAGAAAAGCTTGATATTTCCAAATGAAGGACAAAATAAATGTTGTAAAATATGGTGTGAATTATTGAAATAAAAAGTAAACATTTGGGATTAAATTATACCATTGTTTAAATATAGGCTGAGAAAAATGGATATAAATTTTAATGATGCCTTGTTCCCTGCCATAAACTTGAACTTACAAACATTTTAATAACTATGTGGTGCTCACCCATAATCTAATTTACTTCTTGCATGACATGTAAATTTAGCATTTTATTTCAGGACTTTTGAATCTAAAAACCACAGACAAATTCAACACTTGAGGGCTATGTGAAAAGTATCCAGCTATTGTTAATATGATTTTTCATATTACATGGCTGGATAATTTCCAGACAGCCCTCATACATTTCAGAAAGTGAAACATATAGGAGAGTAACATGAGCAAGATGACAGAACAGGAGGTCTCCCACTCATGTCCCCACAGCATAATGGGACAGCCCCAAACAAATAAAGCAGCCTTCATTGGAGTTTGAGGATGCAGGTCAGAGTTTGTGACAGCCTGGTGGAGCCCAAGATTGAGGAGGATCATTTTGAGAAGGCAGAACCACAACCAGGTGGCAGACCGGCCAATAACAGTCCTGTCTATAGAACAAAAATGACCACATTCTGCCGTAGGCTTAACTATAGCCCATTTAACCTCAGTCCTGCCACGAGCACCATCTGCCAAAATGCACAGGAGGGTTCAAATCCACCTGTGTGTCAGGCGACAGGCATGAAGACCTTGGTCCTACTTTTGGCCCCTGAATTAGCCTAAAATCCACATCTTCACTTGTCAGCCATGCTATGGGAAAAATCCTGCCTACACAGGGACCGCAGGGAGGAATATCTGTCTTTGTTTCTGAATGTAGATCCACCAATATTGATCTGAAAGTTGATCTTGAACTGACACTGTAACCTGGCCTTGGGCAGAGTGCAGGACCAATTCTGCTTAATCTTAGGCATGTCTAGAAGCACACATATCTATGCCTATGGTGGCAGGCCTGCAAACATTAGTCTCACCATGACCCTTCAAATTGCCCTGTTACCCAGCTCCAGTCTCTGCCAGCCAGGGTCTTGAAGCAGTCCTGTTCACCCAGACACTTGGGAGGAGACATGCTATGGACCAAGAAACAGACCTGATGGCTTTGCTCTCAGTTACGTATCATAAAACAGCCCTACACATCAGTTCCAGACCTTCTCGGCTGGACCTGTCCAATGGCTGAGTGAGAGCACTCCCAGAGACCCAGCAGGAGCCACACAAGGCCACATCCATTATATCAGCACTCCATTTGCAGAAACAACTGCAATTCCCTTCCTCAGCACCAGTCCTGCTGATGAAGATCATGAAAAAGAAGTTCAGTCTTCCTAGGGAACAGGCAGAATCCACAACCGTTTGATGCCTTGGTAACAAGTCTGCCAATCATGGGACACACTGCAGACCCAGTAACAGTCATATGACTTGGCTTCAACCTCACTCAACTACAATCTCAGAAAAAAATCTCATCAGCACAGGGACCCAATAAGAGGAGGTATTTACCTCCCAATACTTGTCTACAATGACTGGAAGACACGCTTGCTCCTTCAGATTCCGAGACAGAAACATAAGGCTTCCACATAATAAAGAATCAGGCAAACATGATCACCAGTAAAAGAAACTAATAAAGCTCCACCAGTCATCTCCGGATGATTAGAAATTAAGATATAAGAACTGGCTGACACAGAATTCATCTCATTGAGATACAAAAGGACACAAAGATAACTAAAGAAAGCATAAAACCATACATAAACAAAACGACAATTTTAATACAGAAATAGAGGAGATTAAAAAGAACGAAACAGAGGCCAGGCACGGTGGCTCACGTCTGTAATCCTAACACTCTGATAGGCCAAGACAGGTGGATCATTTGAGCTCAAGAGTTCCAGACCAGCCTGAGCAAAAGCGAGACCCTGTCTCTACTAAAAATAGAATGAAAATAGCTGGACAACTAAAAATATATAGAAAAAATTAGCCAGGTATGGTAGCACATGCCTGTAGTCCCAGCTACTCGGGAGGTTGAGGCAGAAGGATTACTTGAGCTCAGGAGTTTGAGGTTGCTGTGAGCTAAGCTGACGCCACGGCACTCTAGCCCAGGCAACAGAGTGAGATTCTGTCTCAAAAAAAAAAAAAAAAGGTTACTATATAGTGGACAATGTTGTAAGCTTCCCATAAACTTTTTTTTAGTTAAGAACTCTTTATGAGGCCAGGTGTGGTGGCTCATGCCTGTAATCCTAGCACTCTGGGAGGCCAAGGTGGTAAGACAGCTTGAGGTCAGGAGTTCAAGATGAGCCTGAGCAACAGTGACACCCTGTCTCTATCAGAAACAGAAAATATTAGCCAAGCATGTTGGCATGCACCTGTAGTCCCCGCTACTCAGGATTCTGAGACAGGAGGATTGTTTGAGCTCAGGAGTTTGAGGTTGTAGAGAGCTATGATGATGCAACTGCACTCTACCTGGATGACTGAGACACTGTCTCAAAAAAAAAAAAACACCTCTATACAGAAAATAGTATATTAAAGTATTAGTATATTAAAGTATTTTACAGATGCAGAAATTGTGGATATATAGCTTAAATTTGTAATCTTAGTTCAGGCTAGAAAAAAGAAACTGTTGATGTAAAATAGATGATTAGATTTTAAATAAATATTTAAAGATTATATATCTAATTCAATAGTTAATATGTAATTTAATTAAAGGAAGATGCTTTGTATTCTGATGAAATTACAGAGCCTCAATCTCTGTAGAATTACCTTTGAAACCTCCATAGGAATGGAAATTAATAAAACAAAATATTTGACATGTCTATACCATTCCTGGGATTTCTGAACCAAATATTACTATTAATAAGCCCACCACTATGTTTACACATTTCTGACATGAGGCAAAAACAGAACTTAAAATTTGCTTTAACAGAGAGGTAGTCAGAAATATGAAGTTTTTCCCAGGGCCCCCAAAGGAATGGAAGAACAGTCAGATTGTGTACGCCCTCACAGGCCAATGGGAGGAAGACTTTGGCTCTCACTGTGAATTTTTTTTGTTTTTGTTTTTTTTTTTTGAGACAGACACAGTCTCACTTTGTTGCCCAGGCTAGAGTGAGTGCCGTGGCATCAGCCTAGCTCACAGCAACCTCAAACTCCTGAGGTCAAGTGATCCTACTGCCTCAGCCTCCGGAGTAGCTAGGACTACAGGCGTGCACCACCATGCCCGGCTAATTTTTTTTGTGTGTGTATGTATATGTATGTATGTATATATATATTTTTTTAGTTGGTCAATTAATTTCTTTTCTATTTTTAGTAGAGACAGGGTCTCACTCTCGCTCAGGCTGGTTTCCAACTCCTGACCTCGAGCAATCCGCCTGCCTCGGCCTCCCAGAGTGCTAGGATTACAAGCGTGAAGCCACCGCTCCCGGCCATCTAACTGAATTTGACGGAAGATCACTGAAGGGCAGAAGAAATTCTCAGATGATTGTTTTTCACAATCTTAAGGAGAATCAATTCTCAGATAATTTAAGAACATGACAAAGATGTTCTTGTATGACAGCAAGAGAAATAAACCTAGGCTTCTCAAGAAGTAGTTTCAATGTGCCAGAGCTTCTGAATCCACACTTTTAAGGTCTGGCTTCCTCCTTGAACTTTCAACCTCTCACCTGTGTCATCTGCTTCATGCACTCCCACCTACCTGGGTGTTGGCTACTGTTTTGTCTCTTTTTACATTACAGGCCTCTTTCATTAGTTTCAAAAAGGTGACCAGGTCCAACTTAGAGACAGTATGTTCTATTTTATTAGAAAGAATCACAAGAGTTTTGCTTGACATTCTTCAATGTTCAACATAGTATTGTACTCAGTAGAAGAGAATATTATAGAAGACTCTAGAAAATTATTTTCCTAAATACTACTTTCTGACAGACCCTGTAGGAAGAATTTAGAAGTATTTAAATTTGTGGATCCTGTGCTTCATTTTCCAGTATGACTGAGTCAAAAATAAAGAGGAAGAATTGGATTTTAAGGTGTAGGCAATAATAATTTATGCCACTGAATTTCTTGGACCACCACTAAACTACAGTGAAACTTGAAAATCATATCAAGAAAGAAGGCAAATATTGAGGTCAAACATAAAGGTGTTTTTTTGTGTTAATACATAAACAAACCCCCATTTGTTTTCCTAAAAGCAGAAATCTTAAACTCACTCATAAAAAGCACAAGCTCCCAAGAGACATTCTACAAAGGAAAGAAATAAAACCCTTGGGGTGTATTAGATATTATGGAGGTAAGTTATTCTCACCCAGAAAGACCAGGTTTTCATAGGTCTCCAACATCACATCCCCATACAAATTCCGCTGAGCAGGGTGCAGGCATGCCCACTCCTCTGGAGAGAACTCTATGGCCACATCCCTGAATGTCAGCAGTCCCTGAAAAACAAGCAACAAACAAATAAATAATTCTACCATGGGCAGAGTTCTTAATTTAACTCAAGATAAAATGAAAGTTAAGAGTACTGGCTCTGACATATGAGTGACCTGAATTACATAAAAATATACATTTTAATACACTAATAGTCTTCAAGATATTCTCTACCTCTGTGGAAACAGAATGGCAAAAGATCCACAAAATTAGTGTAGACACTGGGCTTATACAGAATATAACATATAAAACTAAAGTATCAACACAGGAATATACATGTTTTTTTTGAGACAATATCTCACCCTGTTGTCCAGGCTAGACTGCAGTGGGTCATCATAGCTCACACAACCTCAAATTCCGGGGCTCAAGTGATCCTCCTGCCTCAGCTTCCCAAGTAACTGGGAATACAGGTGCACACTACCATGACCAACTAATTTTTCTATTTTTTTGTACAGACAGGGTCTTGCTCTTGCTGAGGCTGGCCTCAAACTCCTGGCCTCAAGCAATCCTCCTGCCAGAGCCTACCAAAGTGCTAGGATTACAGGTGTGAGTCACCACACTGGCCTAGAATAAACATTTTTGAGTGCTATATTTACATTATATAGAATCAGTTGTATATATTTCTCAAATAGAAAAGCCATGGTGGCCGGGCGCCGTGGCTCACGCCTGTAATCCTGGCTCTCTGGGAGGCCGAGGCGGGCGGATTGCTCAAGGTCAGGAGTTCAAAACCAGCCTGAGCAAGAGCGAGACCCCGTCTCTACTATAAATAGAAAGAAATTAATTGGCCAACTGATATGTATATAAAAAATTAGCCGGGCATGGTGGCGCATGCCTGTAGTCCCAGCTACTCGGGAGGCCGAGGCAGTAGGATCGCTCGAGCCCAGGAGTTTGAGGTTGCTGTGAGCTAGGCTGACGCCACGGCACTCACTCTAGCCTGGACAACAAAGTGAGACTCTGTCTCAAAAAAAAAAAAAAAAAAAAAAAAAAAGCCATGGTGAGTTAGAAGCATATTTCTCAAATTTTATTGGGAACAATGAACTGGAGATCTTGTTGTAAGGCAGATTGTGGTTCAGGAGATCTGGGTGAAGCCTGAGATTCTTCATTTCTAACAAGCTCACCAGTGACACCAATGCCTCAGGTCTAAAAGCCACACCTTTGAAAAGTACAGAGGTAGAACTCTGTGGGAAGAATTTATGGAAGACATGAATTGAGAGTTTTATGAAATATACAGGTTATAACATAATAGCAAGAATGGTAGCAATCCTTTTTGAACATTCACTATACACTAGATGTCATTCCACCAGTTTTTCATTTATTAATGCATAAAACAATAAAAATAATCTATGAGAAAAATAATAGTGGTCTTCCTCTTTTATGAGGATATTTTGCTAATTATCAAGTAAACAATAGAGCTTGGGTTTTACCCCAGTTTGTCTGACTTTGAATTTATCTCAAAGGAATAAACAGGCCACTCTACAGAGACAACCCCAGTGGAATGTTCAGAGCATATTTCCTAACTGAGAAGAGTAATGAGGACAGTTACAAAGGCAGCAACACTTGATCAAATAATGCTTACATTTTATGTACACAAATACATAGAAATGGTAACTACATACACAAAAGTGATACAGTAGAATGTTTTTATGTAAATAAAGAAATAGAATTCACTGTAAAAAAAATGACAAATCTCTTTGCTGATTTTTTAAAACCTACTATGGAGAACAGCACATATAATGATATAAACTAAAGAGCTATTATTGTTCCTGAGCCTTGTGTGTTTTTCAATTTTTTGTTTTATTTATTCTCTATGCCCTGTTATATTTTAGTTTTATGATGTTTAATTAAATATATTAATTATATGTTAATTCTTATTCCTTTTATCTGAAAACACAGAGAAGTAATAAAAAAGCATGTTTGTGACAGGAGGGTAGAATAAAATGGAAAGCTACAAGACTGAGGCATTTTAAAACTTCCAATTTCAAAAGTGGTATCTCCATTCAGCAAATGTGAGAGCTACAAGGAAATGGAAACTAAGAAGAAAGGGAATGTTTGGATTAAATGCGTTTATACACATTCAGTAAATTCTCCCAAGGTAGCACTAATGACAATGAGAAAAATGATTAACTTTACAGTGAAAGAATCTGGCAGAGAGCACCTTAATCAAGCAAATGAAGTGACCATCAGCTGTAATGGGAAACTGGTATCAAGTGTCAATGAGCACAGATGGACCATAATTACTGTGATATGAGTGAGGAAAATTAAACAATAATCTGAATCTAGTCATAGAAAACAGAATCTGTTGGGAGGGCAGCACAGGTGATGGTGTGTCTTCAAACTGGCCATGTGATCCTAACTGGAAGCCTGGGCTGAGAACCTCTTGGCTAAGCCTTGCCCAGGCTAGAGTGCAGTGGCAGCATCATACCTCACTGCAACCTCAAAAGCCTGGCTCAATAATCCTCCTGCCTCAGCCTCCTGAGTAGCCAGGACTAGAGGCATATGCAACCATGCCTGGCTCATTTTTCTATTTTTTGTAGAGACAGGGTTGTTTCTGTAACATAATTACATCTCAAGCAGAAGACATGACATCACCATTTGTCATATTTTCTATATCCTAAGTTCACCTGGTAATGGGGAAGCTATCTGTTTTGGCTATATTCAAAGGAAAAAATACATCTTATGTCTTCATGACAGGATGTAGATTGCAACTTGGAGCCAGGTGCTTGGTGAAAGTAGGCTCCTACTTTCCTACAAAAACTTTGGGATAGGGCTCTATCTTCCTGGTTATTTAAATTTCAAAAGAGGCCCTCCAGCCCTGCCTGACTCATGCTGAGTGAGATTCTGTCCTGGGAAACCCAAGCACACAAACTAGCCCCTTTGTTTTGGGTATCTCCCAGGGCATATCATCAAGAATTATTACAGCATAAAAACAAAGGTGTTTTCACCCCGCTTTGTCTGAAAATGAAGAAATGTGCAGCAGTGGAGCCTGGGTCAACAATGCATGGTGGGAATGGACGGAAGCCCTAATGATGTCACGGTGCACATGTGACGCTACATGAAGGACATCATGCTCCATGTAGGGAAATAAGGGAGATCAGAGCATCGTTAAAGATATAATTCTGTTGTTTTTGCTTAGTTTGTGTGCATGTTTTCTATCAATTGTGGTAAAATATACCCTTTTTAAGTGATTATATTTTCTTTTTAAAAGTGTATTAAGATAAACTGAAAAAAAATCTACTTTCAAATATACTTTGAGAGCACTGAATCTTTCAAAATGATATCTAAAGTGTTTCTTACTCAACACAAAATTGTAATTTAATATTTATGCTATCAACAATTTTTACTTGTTGACTGTGTTATAAAATTTTTTACCTAAGATACATTTTTTAGAAATGACTAGTCCAATAGTGTGCCCACAAGATAGTAAACATATGGGACATTTCAAATAAGAAAACAATGACAAAATTTGTAGGTTTTGAGGAAAATCTCAAATAATTGGTTAGAATGACATGGAGGCAGGTATCTTAAAGACAAGCAGAGCACCATTGTTTACACCAGCCAAGATAAAACAAACGTGGAAGGGTGACTGGGAGTGTGGTTATGTGGTTAAGGACCGTTAGTTTTTAAGTGAACCCAGGAAGGCAGCACTGATTAGGTTTTAGTATTAATGGTGAGTGACTGAATAGTTACAGAAAGAGTATTCAAGTAGATGTATATTGAATTTGTTGTGGGATTAAAATATTGACAGTCCTACTAAATGAACTATTAATTCATCCAGTACAATAACTGGCATATTCTTATCATTATTGTTTTATCACTTACCTAATCTAGGTGAATTTTTTTAACTTCCAAATCAGGATATTACATTTGTAATCTTTTTGATTCCACGGACAGCTTTTGTTTTCCTGTTTTACTCACCATCTCTTTCCATTTTCCCTCTGGCCCTTGTAGGGTGATGGTCAGGTGAGAAGCTGAGACCCTAGAAAATATGGCCGGCAGATGTGGGCTGCACCTCACAGACACCTAGTCAAACTTTTTTTAAGCTGTCATTGGAAGGGGTGTGGATCTTAGAAGGTCTACAACTGCTTGCTCTCTCTTTGGAGACCTGGGTTAAAGCCAAAACCAACTTCTTGGTTTTGTTTTCATGCATGTTCATTTGTGTTGGTTTTGAGTTATTTATTCAGGTATGCTTTTGATTTAAAACATTGGTTTATATTTAGAGTGTGGTGGGAACTTTTTTTGTTTTGTATTTCTTTAGCCTTCTCTCCTAAGCCAATGAAATCATATATTCAGAAATACAGGAAACAGTTTATTAAAACATTTCAAAGAAGGCCGGGTGCAGTGGCTCACACCTGTAATCCTAGCACTCTGGGAGGCCAAGGCGGGCGGATTGCTCGAGGTCAGGAGTTTGAAACCAGCCCAAGTAAGAGAGAGAACCCATCTCTACTATAAATAAAAGGAAATTAATTTGCCAACTAATATATATAGAAAAAATTAGCTGGGCATGGTGGCGCATGCCTGTAGTCCCAGCTACTTGGGAGGCCGAGGCAGCAGGATTGCTTGAGCCCAGGAGTTTGAGGTTGCTGTGAGCTAGGCTGATGCCATGGCACTCACTCTAGCCTGGGCAACAAAGCAAGACTCTCTCTCAAAAAAAGAAAAAAAAAAAGAAAGAAAAACAACTTTAAATAGTGATTGTATTAGACCTGTAATAAACAAATATGCCCTATCTCCACAACTCCTTCTTGGTACAAACTTCAGAAGCAAAAAGCCAAGAAACATGAATGTTTGCTATTTATCTAGACCTGATAAACTTTTTTAAGAGCTCTATAATCAAAAGTTCACTTAAGGCCAGCGAGGTGGCTCACGCCTGTAATCCTAGCTCTCTGGGAGGCCAAGGCGGGCGAATTGCTCGAGGTCAGGAGTTCAAAACCAGCCTGAGCAAGAGCGAGACCCTGTCTCTACTATAAATAGAAAGAAACTGATTGGACAACTAATATATATAGAAAAAATT